ACATTCAAAATGAGAAAGGAAAATAATAGAAGTTAAAAACTTACTGAATTATACAGTACGTTATAAATGAGAAAATAAAATAACAGTCATAAAAAACTTACTAAATTATTGATTCAAATCTTATTTATTGCAACAACTTAAACTATTATGGCACTTTATCACCTCTCTGTTCGACTTTCACCAGAGCATATCTGTGATAGTTGACATACACCGGTGAGGGTCTGAATATACAAGAATATAGCGAAATATTCGGTCTTTCACCGACGTATTTGGTGAATGTTGATATTCTCCAATTTCGGTCTTTCACGGTAACATATATATATAATTAGTTCTTTTAATAAACTAAAAGTAGTAATTAAGTGTGGCATTTTTGATGAGTCAGACCAAAGATAAGAAATCACCTCTAGCAGAACATTTTCAGAAAAGGATCGAGAAAAATTGCTTTATCCCACATCCTTGTAAGGGATAAATTGTGCATTTGTGAACTAATTTTTTGTCTTGGTTTTAAATTATCACATAAATATCCCTTTTACCTGTAATACCCTTTCGTGGATTCATATCTCAAATCCTTTAGAGTCATTTAGCCTGTGAATAGGAAAGAAAACGGAGAATAAAGCCGGAAAAGGAGAATAAAGCTGGTTTGGCGATAAGAGCTCGGAGACTCCCTATGATTTAAGGAACCCATTTTCCTTCCTTTCTCAGTCCCTGGAAACCTTAACTACTTCCCAGAAAAAATATTTCAATTTATGTACCAAGTGCTCCAATTCAAGATCGAAGTCCGGAAAAGTATATCGCGGAGAAGGTGACATGAAATACAGCTGTGTTCCCCTTTCTACCTGAAAAAAAGGGGAATTTCTGTACTCTAGCAACGCCTCCCTTTTTGTGTAATATCCCAACGCCCATCCCTAAGGTCTTGATTTAAAGTCCTTCTACAGAATTTCCCGTTTTTCTGGTGGCATATTTTTGTTCTTTACAGCGGTTTTGCCCGATAAAATTGCGTAACATGTTTATGTTCGCAGATAAAATTTCTGCGGGAAGTTCTTTCTCTAGAGGGGCTATTTTATTTAAATATTTTGGCAGAATCGATTTCTTCTGACAGGATATTTCAGACTCTTAGATTCTGAAGCCTCCGCGGAGTTAGCATTTTGAAAATGTTTTTCAGAGGAAGGAAAGAAAGAATCTGCATTTTTCAGTTAAAAAGAAACGCCTCTGGAACTAGTTCCAAGTTTTTATAATTTTCATGGGTTTTGAAAAATAATGAATAAATAAATAAAGAAAGAAAAATATCCGATGTGTACACTACATGACCTCCTTAAACAGTATATTAAATTATACGCATTTTTTCTTGCATTTCATTTAAACTTATTTTCTCGAATTTCATTAAAATACATTTCTCAAATGTAAACGAATAGGACTGCTATGGTGAAAAAAATAGGCTTAGCCACACTTAACCCTTTTTTGCATCAAGTCCACTCTAGTAGACGAAAATGCCTTAACAGATTCCATTCCTGTGTTTATTCATTCTATATTATTAGAACTTTCAACTGTCGATCATAGATGGCTGTATAGCATCACTAAATAAAGCATTGTTATTTGGAAAATGGCTGCTACTTCTGTTTCCAAGTTAGTTCAGTTTCTCATAGTAAACATTATATAATATTGCTTACATTTTCTTATACTGCCATTTTTTTATTCATAATTAGTCATTTTAGACATTTCATTTTAAATGTCAGTTTGAGAAAATTGTGGAATGGTTCGATAGAGATCTACCGAAAAGAGTGAATTGAAACCCAAATGTACTGCTTATCAAGCCAAACACCACTGGAAATATTTATGTTTGGCAAGGAATTTCTAGAACATTTGACATTTGAATCCAATAGGTACAGGTTACAAAATCGTAGCAAAATGAATTCAATCACAATCGACGAAATGAAGGTATTTTGGAGGATCTGTATGTACATGTCAGTTGTAGATTTACCATTTAGAAGATGGTAATGATCACTTCAAACAAGGCAGGAAATGATTCCAAATGCGATGGCCATAAATCGTTGGAAAGAGATTTGTATGCATGTACGTATATGCATGCTGTCCACTGTAGTGAACAAACTGTAGCAATTATTTAAAACGAAATTTGACTAAAATTAACTTTTTTTGTTATTACTAAGGTTAATTTAAGTGGAAAAAATACAACAATTTTCGTTTAACTTCTTTGGATTATTTGTATGCAACAAAGGGTTAAGCAATTTTTAAATTGTTGATAATTCCATAACTATTGCATGCAGATTATCTAAAGGCATAAAAACCTTAACCGGAAAATAAGCATAACATAATTTAGTTTAAATATCACTTTGAATAACAATAAAAAACAAAGTCCAACATTAACAATCAGCGTAAATTTTTTAAAACATTTTGCAGTAGAAGAAACCATGAGGAAATTTTGGGAAGAAATACTTTTAACTTTTTTTACAAACTCTATTGAATTTTTTATGGTGTAAATGTTACTATCCAATAAAGTTGAAAATCTAGAAACTAAACATTTAGCTAACAGATACGAAGCAGTGCCTAAATTTGATACAATAGGGCGGAAAGGAAATACCACTTTTATGAATTTTGGGAAGAGCATATAATCTGGCACAATTCGCAACAGATGGGATAAGCGATCGTTTTAAGTGGGTCGGAAGGATTTGTGAAGATTTGATAGCAGTTTTATTTTTGAGAGGTCCGAAAGTGAAGGGTCTTTCGAGATCGGAATATATGGTCCTTCGTTTAAGAGTTTAGTGACACCATCAATGTAAGTGTCCATGACGACTATCTGGCCAACTTTGTCAGCCTTTGAAATGATAATATCTGTGTTAGAATGGATTTCGCACAATGTGGTTCTTTCACTTGCATTTAGGTTTGGCTTCAAAGGTTTATTGTTCAGTTTCATATTATGGGCGGCTGAACACTGGTAGTTCGGTCCGAATCCCGCGAATGGGCTGGCTGCATGGGCGTTTTCGTGGTTTTCCCCATGTGTAACGTGTATACGAGCTTTATTATTTTATATTTTTACGAGCCAGTTAAGGTATACGAGCCAGTTTCCCTTAGAAAGTCCTCCCCGAAGGCATCCCTCCCTTTAGGCAGATAGCCCTAGTGTGCTTTGCCGTAATCTTAATAAACCAAACCAAACCATATTATGGGCGATAAGATTATAAGGTATTTCTCCCACTTCCCTAGCGTGCCTTCGTGGTGTAACGGTAGCACGCTGGGCCGATATTCCAGAGGTCCGTGGTTCGATTCCCGGCGAAGGCGGTTGCATCTTTTCTGCTTCCAATTAACCTAATGACTCTACAAGTGGTGCCTGAACTAAAAGGGTTGTGGATGATGATTCTCCGCACCCAGGATTTGGCGACTAGGTACCCTAAAAACCCTAGTCGCGCTTTAAAAGGGGAGTATATAAGGTATTTCTCCCGCCATCCTAGCGTGCCTTCGTGGTGTAGTGGTTCTGCACGCTGGGCTGGTATTCTAGAAGTCCTTGGTTCGATTCCCGGTGAAGGCGGTTGCATCTTTTCTGCTTCCAATTAACCTTATGACTCTACAAGATGTCTAATCATTTTTTTTTTTTTTTCTGTGTGTCTTTCTTTTCACCATCGACGGAACAGCTGGCCCACTGGGTTAGGTGCTTTTCAGCCTGTTGGGTCCCGTCGATGGAATTAAAAAAAAATACACGAATAAACATAAATAAAGGGCTTAGTACTGTGTTCTCCGGGGATTGGCCACGAAACGAGGAACATTGAAGTAAGGACCAGAACATGGGAAGAAGGTGCATGGACCGGTTAGTCTGCTGAGACTAAGCAGAACACTTTTCACTATTATCGAACATGTTAGGCATACAGTTATATTAAGGATGTGCTATAAAAATCAGGTACATATGTAAAGATGACCAAATACATTACAAATTGTAGAATACATTAAATGAATTCTGAATTAATCATAATATTAAATATAATTAAAAACAACAAAAACAAATCACAAGACATTAAGTAAATTAATATGTGTACAGAACAGGCTGCTGACCGCACGGTGTCCAAGGAAAGAAGTTACTCCAGGTTATCAGCAATGCTTTTAGCAGTGGTAGTTTTTGTGGTTTTCTGTATGTCTGAAACTTTACTGAATTTGAAAGCCTTTTTCGATAGGAGCTACAATCTTTGGAATTGAAGGTTTTGAAAAAACATCCAAATTAGAGTGACAAGTGAATTGCGTCGACAAATGTCAATTTAAATCAAAATGGAATTTAGCGCGGCTGGACTCTTCAGGCTGCAAAAAATTTTTAAAAATTTACGCTGATTCTTAATGTTGGACTTTTGGTTTTTGAAAGCATAACATAATTCAACTAGTTTCAAAGCAAAAAAATGCTCAGTTTAACAGTATATAAGAATAAACAAAATGAGCTTATTGAGCGGAGTAACAAAGTGAGTGTATACTTTTGATGCGGCCGATTGCTACCAAAATCGGAATTGCACAACTACACGTTACAGCAGTCCTATATACAAAATTTCAGCGTTCTGAGGCTACTCGCTTTTGAGTTATGCGAGATACATACATTATGTACGTACGTACAGACATCACGAAAAAAATCTCTTCTCAATCCATTTTAAATCAGTTTGTTGATTCGTTTGCGGAAAAGTGTCCTTTAATCTGTCCTTACTTACCCACATAGCACAAAAACATCTTTGGGATATCCTGAGGATGTAGCTCGCGGGATATGCGCACATCCTGAGGACATCCCAGAATATGCCGCAAACCTCCTAAACATCTCCTCCCGAGTGCTTAATGTCACATCCCAGTACATCCTCAGAACATCCTAACTGATTCCCATCGACAGCGTACGGGATGTTATTAGGATATGAACTCCTATTTACTACATCCTCAGGACATCACGGGATATCCCACTAACCTCCTAAACACATCCCATTATATCCTAAGAACATCCTATGTATGTCCCATAGACAGCGTATGGGATGTTATTCTGTCCTTCTTCGAGTTTAAGTTCAAAACTTAAAACGCACCCTTCAGATTACGGGAAAGGTGTTGTGACTCATTTCGCCCCTGAATTACCACCATCCATAGAGGGCCCGGGCTTCATGATTTACACGGATGGGTCGAAAATGGACAATGCAGTCACCAGCGCATATATAGTTTTCCATAATGGTACTGAAGTGCAAACCTGGAAGTACCATTTGTCTCCGCACACTTCAGTCTTCCAGGCGGAAGCCCTTGCTTTGCTTAAAGCAATAGAATGGGCACAAACTACCACAGCAGAAGATTTTACAATCTATACTGATAGCCTATCGGTACTGTACGCCATCAACGACCCACGCCACACCTCCCCACGCGTGTCCCAAATTCTGGAGACACTAAGAAATACGAATCCGGTCCAAAAAATTGAAATCTCTTGTGTAAAAGCGCACGTTGGTGCCCAGGGCAACGAACGCGCAGATGCCCTGGCAAAAGAGGCAGCACAGGACCGGGATGCGTTGCAAATAGACCCACCTTTACCAAAGTCACTTCTCAAGCGGCAGACTTGGCAGTCAGCTCTGTCGCAGTGGCAGCAGGAATGGAACACGTCGCCACAAAGTCGGCGAACTTTCGAATTCATACGAAAAGTGGACACGGAACAACTCATATTTGCGCCCTTCTTAACAAGATTCATCACAGGACATGGGCCGTTTCCGACCTACTTCGCAGAGAGAAATATAACCTCCACAGACCTGTGTGTCTGCCGAAAAGTCGGATCCCCCGACCACTACCTGACGGAGTGTCAACTCACCACACAATGGCACGTTAAACTACCGTCGAATAATGTGGCCGCCTTTAAAAGGTTCATGCTGAAACAACCACGACTTGTGGATAAAATCAAAAAGATCATGGATCACTTAGAAGTACTGGGGCAGCAGCTCTGCAACCCTGCATAGGTGCCCCACAAGTCAGTTTCCGTAACATACGTGTCAAAGTGAGTACCTTCGCTAGCACATATGCTCAGCGTGCCACAAGACGCATTTACAACGTACCTCAGCATGCACTGTACCCATCGTACACGCACCAAGAAGAATAATGCATAGACAAGTGTATAGTGTAGTCTAGAATTCTCTTACAGTTTACGTCCGTCTGTTTCTTATGTACATCTCTACCAGCCAAAGTGTAAATTTCTAATATCATGTTGTCAAGTTTTTAAGATTTAAGGCTCAGGCTTAATCCTGTAGTAGGCATGTATTAAATATTCTCATTAATGTGCACTTCATAATATGTCGAATCCACGTAGTATTGAGTGTTCTCATATGCGTATGTGCCTGCATATTTCAGTGTATTGCATTCACGTGTATGTAACAGTAGTATAGTATATTGTTTAATCTTATTGACGTGTACTGTATTCACGTATTATCAGTGTATTGTATCCACGTGTATGTTACAATAGTATAATTGAATAGTTGTATAATCTAATTCACGTGTATTTTTTGTGTACATGGTACTTACGTATTAGTGTCAATGTATATCAGTGTAAAGTATATTAGTGTGTCGCATTAATGTGCATTGGTGTATTGTGCCTATATTTTAGTGTATCGTGTATTAGTGTTTAGTATATACGCGTATATTACACTGGTGTGCAAAAATTAAGGACGAAACGGTTTTTTCAATATAACTTTGTACAAAACCTTTCCAAATCAACACATCAACACATTTAATACCGTAAGATCCCCAATACGTAAGGACATGAGTAATGTAAGCAACACTTACTAAAAGAGAAATCAGAGGGATAAAAAGAAGTTTTATTGAAAACGTAGCATGGAGCGCAATGCGACCGAAGGCCGAAACATCCCTGTGATGGGTGTTCAGCAAGAAACATCCGGTTTTTAAATAGGGGATATGATCTCCCCTGACTGCTAGGCAGGTTTCACAGCGTCTGCCCATGCTGAGAATGAGGGTGTCAATGAGTTGTTGAGGCATTGCTGCCCATTCGTCCTGCAGCGCCCATCGAAGCTCCGGAATCGTTACTGGTGGTAAGGTACGAGATGCCAAGCGTCTGCCTAGAAAATCCCATACATGCTCGATGGGATTGAGATCCGGAGATCGTGCCGGCCAATCCATACGTTCAATATCCTCACTCACTAAGAGCTGCTCGGCAGCTACTGTGCGATGACATGGTGCATTGTCGTCCATGAAAAGGAACTGCGGACCCATAGCGCCTCTAAAAAGACGCACACATGGAAGAAGAATCTCGTTACAATAACGGGTCCCGTTGACTGAACCTGCGTCGAAGATGTGAAGGTCTGTACGACTACCAAGCATGATGCCTCCCCAAACGAGAACACCGCCACCTCCATACCTGTCTCTTTCAATGATGTTCGAGGGATGATTGCGGCTTCCCTTCTCTCTCCAGATGAGTATGCGACGAGAATGGCTACTCAGACTGAATCTGTTCTCATCTGTAAAGTGTACTCGTCCCCATTCATTATCTCTCCAATTCCGGTGTTCCCGGCACCACAGAGAACGCCTTCTCCGATGGGCAGGCGTTAGGGGTACACACCGAACAGGGCGTCGTGCAAACAGACCACCACCGTGCGTCTTCTGGCCACGGTAAAACGCGATATCGGTCGTCCAGTCGCCTGTGTCGTGTGTCTAGCGATTTCTCCCGCTGTCTGCCGCCTGTTTCTTCTGGCCTGTAAGGCGATATACCGGTCATCTGCGGGTGTGGTTCCTCGTGGACGACCACTACTAAACCCCCGAATAGCTGCTCTTGTAGTTTGAAATTATCTCCAAATTCGTGAAACGATGCTGTGAGCAATTCCGAACTCTGCAGCCACACTTGTCACACTGCGGCCTTCCTCCAACTTCCCAATGATTCGACCTCGGGTAGCAACTCGGTGTGATTTTAACTGCTATACGGCGTGCAATCTCTTTGCCAGAAATACTGATTTTACACCGACAACATGCTTTATACTACTCAGACACTTCCCCATTACGTCTACCTGCATATCTGCGTATGTGCTACCGTACATCGCATAGATGCGACACACTAATATACACTTGTGTGCAAAAATTAAGGACGAAGTAGAAAATTTAGCATATCAGCTGAACGAAGAGGCAGAGCGGACAGAAAGACCTGCTACCTTGGTCTTTCTGTTCGCTCTGCCTCTTAGTTCAGCTGATATGCTAATTTTTCTACTTCGTCCTTAATTTTTGCACACCAGTGTATATTAGTTTGTCGCATCTATGCGCATTGGTGTATTGTATCTATCTTTTAGTGTATAGTATATTAGTGTGAAATATTTATGTATATTAACGCATCGTGACATTGGTGTATTGTGTCTATAAATATATTCTAGCATCATGTTGTCATGTTTCAAGATCTAAGAACATACAGAGTAACACCTGTAGTAGTACTGTGTATTATTAATATTTACACAAAAGTGTATTTTAAAATATATAGAATTTACTCAGTATCTATGTGTATCAATACTTAACTTTTTTATATATTGTAATGTAGCGTAAATTTCTACCTATCTCAGTGTATTGTATCCATGTGTATGTTACAGTAGTATAATAAAATAATTGTATTATCTTACCTATGTGTATTTTTGTGTATATGGTACTTATGTATTAGTGTCAATGTATACTAGTGTGTCACATTTATGTGCACTGGTGTATCGTGTCTATCTTTTAGTATATTAGTGAATTATTGTATAGTTATAGTATATATAAATACCAAGTTTTGAATAGAATTATTGTATATTTATAGTATATTAGTGAATTATTGTATAGTATACTGGTGTATAGGTTAGATATTTAATTATGGCAAAGCCTCGAGGGCTATCTGCCTAAGGGGAGAGATGCCTTCGTGGAGAACTTTCTAAGGGAAACTGGCACGTATACACGTTAAACATGGGGAAAACCACGAAAACGCCAGCAGCCAGCCCGTTCGCGGGATTCGAACCTCGGACCGAACTACCAGTGTTCAGCGACTTTACCGCTCGGCCGCTGTTGGGCCCCAGGAATCTGTAAGGAATATTAGTTTAGCAGACACGGAAGCAATACGCAGCACGCATGTTTAGCAGCAGTACATAGTATGGACGTACGAGAATAAAATTTTACAATTTTTTCCGTCTTCACCGCTTTTTCATCGACTTTCCAACTTTATGTCGGATGAAACGGTGTGTAAAAATAGATGTATTTCAACAAAACATACGTGCTAACCGAATTCCAGCATTATTAGAATGATTATACATACTAGACCTCAGCGACAACCTGTTTCAAATATATACGTAATGTTCTAGACTTAGTTTTCATTTTTTTTATAAGTGTTGACCTAATTTTAAAGCTGAGTTTTTTAAATGTCAAAATTTAACCGTCTGAGCGGTATAGCGGTTAGGAAATTAAGAAAATTGTGGAATATTACTGGTGGTTAGTTCAGAAAATTGCCTTGCTTCGTTTTAATTTTACACATTACTTGCTATTGTTTGATTTGAATTCGTTCTAAAACTATCTGCTGCATACAGGCTTTTGAACTAAAATGACATAATCCATTGAACACACGAACTTAAAATTCTTAAAAGTAGATGAATACAGCAGCAAAAATACTTCTTAGCCGTACTTAGATATGTGTATATGGCATTCTTCGAAATTTATTGTTGTTATGTTAATTTATTAAAGCGAGTTGTGCGTAGTTCTTAGATTCTTTCGCTGCCTAGATTGTGCAATTCGTAGATGTTTTTTAAGTTTAAACAGAATGCTGTGTACATGGTATTCTTTGAAATTTATTGTTGTTATGTTAATTTATTAAAGCGAGGTGTGCGTAGTTCTTAGATTCTTTCGCTGCCTAGATTGTGCAATTCGTAGCTGTTTTTTAAAGTTGAAACAGAACGCTGTGTACATGGTATTCTTTGAAATTTATTGTTGTTACGTTAATTTATGGTGTGCGTTGTTCGTAGATTCTTTCGCTGCTTAGATTGTGCAATTCGTAGATGTTTTTTAAGTTTAAACAGAATGCTGTGTACGCGGTATTCTTTTAAATTTATTGTTGTTATGTTAATTTATTAAAGCAAGGTGTGCGTAGTTCGTAGATTCTTTCGCTGCCTAGATTGTGCAATTCGTAGATTTTTTTTTTTATGTTAAAACATATCGCTCTGTACATGGATTTTTGTCAAATATTTTTGGTTAGAAAGTTTACGTGTTTGCTATCTAAATTTTTTGTTTTTGATTCGGAATTTTAGCTTAAATTGCGTGTTCAAAACTTGGTTACTTGTTTTTCGCAGACATTTTAGGCTTAAAGTTCGAAATGTAGACAAAAAATTTAGATAGTAATAAAGCACCGTGGAGTTTCTCGCCAAAAATGTTTGTCGAGAAATTTGGCGACTTGAGGGCGCATAAAAGAGTAATTCCTTATTTTATTATTATTATTATTATTATTTTGATTTTTTGGTCACCCTGAACTATACACTTTAATTTTACCGTAGTATAGAATTATTTCTTGTGTAATTAATGCTTTATTTGGAAAGTGGGAGCCATTTGGAAGTTTGGGAGTAAATTATGTCCTGATACATCCGAAATTGTATCGATGTACAAAAATATTACACCGTAACAGCACGCGAGAAAAATGTTTTAATTTCTTATATTCTTTTCGAACTTACGGTCGCAGAAGAAAAACGAACGAAGCCAATAGTGAAATCTAAGTTCGGTGAGAAGTTACAGTTCATCGTTTCAGTTCAGGTGCCTGATGTGCCAAGCATTAAGATTGTATCTTAACAAACATGTATATACGTAAAAAGCAAATTTAAAGTTAAAATAATTTAAAAATGTGCAAACATATAAAAGATTTAATTCTCGAACTAATCTAGAATATCATTTAAATTCAGATAGCATAAGTAAATCAAGTGCAAAACCAAACCATGAAAATAAATTCACCAATTTAGCAACTTAA